CACAGCTATCCTCCGCAACACCTTTGAATGCTTCCGCACCCCACGCCCACGACAGGCAGCAAGAACACTGTACACCACACCCACATCTATACATCTGAATATGAATTTTAGCTCAGAAGAAGAGCTGCTACTCATACCTTTTCGATCAAAGGCTATTAGCCTGGGCGTTCGCTTAGGGGCACCATTGTCGGTCGCACTGCCAAACGAAGTAGATTAATCGGGTCAAAACATGTGTAGTGTGGGCTGGGTAATGCAGACTATGTGATATTCTGTGTTCGGTGAGTATTATTCGGAATTTGAGAAGTGGCCAATGATGAGACTGAGACATCACATATGTCGAGGTGTGCCATTATCGCGGTACTTTGATTAGTCGAGTATATTATCTATCTCATAAGGTACCACCTGTAGCGATAATACGTGTCCTGTGATTAATCAGTTCAAGACTGGTGACCCTCATCTATCCCGTGACATCAAGATGAAACCCGTTGAAATCAAGGCGAGACGCTTAGAGCGCAGTCGACGACACAGGAAATAGTCGAGTGACATACGCCTGTCTGCAGGTATACGGTTGTAAATTGTATTCACACGGACTCCATCCCAACAATAAAGGCAGAGAGTCGCTTAACACAATATACATGAATATACGTCAAGCACCTACAATCATCGATGGTTGCAACCGAGATCCCCACCACAGACCTGATTCTATATCAGTGCAGGTAGATGCCTCACTTTCAGAACGCAGATAGCAGACTACTTTAACCACAACCTGTATATTCTTGAATGCGCGATTGCGTGCACCAGTTTTATCCGATGACCTCGACATATACATGATACATGCTCAAGTGAAGGAGGGGCTTTTGTCCTCGCGGAATCAGAGGTGTATTCAATTCAATATTCAAGTAATCAAAACTATCAATTATCTCGGATTGTAGCTGAAAGTATGTTCTAAATTTGTACCGACTTCGCGAGTGTGTTATATTTTGGCCATACCTATCCGTAGCGGCAATATTTCCTTACTAATAACAAGTGCACATAGAGTGCGACGATCTCGGTGGGAACTTATATGGACGCTTTGTATAATTAAAACGAATTACTTACATCCACCCGTTGTAATGAAAACCCCGAATTTGATTGTGCACTGATTGGCTCGCCAAATACATAAATAAGGGTGTAATCTTCGTGGATCATGCTATTTTAAACTCCCGACTGCCGTGCAAGCCTATATAAGAGGCTGTCGTTCAATTGCGCAACTGTGTTACAGACGTTCCCCAGTTAACTGGCCCTCACCACAAATATATATAAAAGCTTTGTAAGCCAAGAGATGCATCCATTCACACTTACCGGGTATACTGAAAGAAAGGGCTGTCACTCGGTTGCGCAGTTATGTTGCAGTCACTATCCAGGGCATTCCACAGATGAGCTCCCACATGGTTCGCAAAGTTTCCTAGCTGTAAGGTGAGTATCTCACTTTTGCTTCCGTTCGACATCACTGCAAGTGCACACGATACAAAGATGGCTATGACCAATATATGGATTCAATCTTAAAAATATGCAATATCCATATATTAAATATCATAGCCTCCTCTATAGTATAAAAAATAAGCCCGCCAAAATTCGAATTTGGCATGTGCTGACTTTGAGGTTTCTTCCTATGGGGGGTTTTTTTTAAATAAATTATAGAACAAAATAAAAATTATTTTTGCATGTTGCTCACCTGCACTATAAATATGCCGGGGAGAATCAATTTGGCGAATAAGGTCATGAAACTTGTTTTTTTTTTATAAAGTTTAACAAAATAATGATTCTAGCGCCACAGTAGCGACCTTCAAGGGGACTTCAACAAAGCGCCGTCCACATTTGTATCGATACGGAAATATGCGTGGGAAAAAAAGTGTCTCTCTTATTTTCGAAAGCTTGGTGAAATGTCACCTGATTGATACAAAATCAGAAGCACAATCAGTAGAGCAGTAACTCGGAAGACAATTGTTTGGAGACGAGAAAGCATCCCCGTATCCTCATGGAATGAATCATATGATAAATTACATTACACAGTGTCAAGATCACAAGGCAGTAGTTCATGTTGTCTGTATAGGAATAATTGTACCGCTTAGCGCGAGAATTGCCCATAAATAGGTGAAAAGTAAGCATGTGAAAACATACCAGTGGATATGAAGAAATTTCACCAGGAGATGTGTTTTCTTGAAGAAATGTTTTATACCGAATTCATATACCCTATACAAATACTAAACTTTGTCTTCAGACGGCATTGGCAGTGCCCGTATGGTGATTTGAGGAATCCTTTTTTATTACTGAAGTCAGGGACAATTATATGATACTATCGTTCCGTGATCCATGTTGTTATTAAATCGGTTATGTACAACATTTTTGTCTGCAAATCTTATCCATGCCCTAGCTTTATACACGCATGCGCACTTCGCAGTACCGACTAGCCCATTGAGGTAACTGTTAACGTTTATGAAATTATAATCAGCATGAGTGAAGCACCATCCAGGGTGACTTTGCAACACTGTCGCCACTACGCAGCCATTGCGACGCAATCCATTGTTGATGGCCGAAACTTTCTCCTCAGTATAATACGTCAAATTTGGGCCCATGGCTTGCGATGACTTCAAGGAACGCTTAATAACGGGTGAAGGAAAATTTGCTGTGGTGACCATATCTATGCCACTTTAGGTAGACTCTTGCGTGAGTGTAAAGCCGAAGATCTTACCATTCATTCGAGAGCACTTTCCGGGTATCATGTCATATAAGCCATCCTTATATGGGTATTTCATACGGACGCGCTCAACAAAGAGAACCACTAAATCTGAGTATTCACCTCAGTTCGCCCAATTTTTCCAAAGTGTGCAAATTATGGAAGTTGTTTTTGGATACTGAGATATCGTATATCAAATTGAAAAGCCTTTTCGAGTAATCTATTAGTAGCCAATGCTCGAAATGAACTTGATTCGCCAATAGTTAGGCCAATCCACAACCCTTTGAAGGGCGCTGCAGTGGTAGTGAGGTTGAGAATATCTGTCAGTCGAACTTTGGAAGCGTTGTTTGTGTCGACCCCGCTGTTCCTCCCAAAATTATTGCCAACGATGTGAATCGGATTCTCAGAATGCCCAATCTGCTTGGGCATGCTTTTCGAGTGTGCGTCCGCATCAAGCATGGCCACATTTTTGCGTGCATTGCCATACATTCGCTTCTTCCCGTAATCTACATTGCCGTCTACATATCCATCAATTAAAAAAAAAGCTCGCATACTAGATTGTGTTGCGAACGTATTGGGCCGATGTATGATGGTCTCATATTCAACCAGCAATAGTCTCCCCTTTCGCCGAAGAGCCCATGCATTAAAAGCATCGGTGCGTTTCACACGGTATGTGTATCATTGCTGCAACGTGAATGTGACAGTCTGATAGAAGACTGAATTTACTTTGGCGACTATTCTATAGCCTGGACTAAATATTTCACATCAGGTTCATTGAACTAAAACTGTATTGTTGCTGGGAAT